TGCAGTTGTTCTGCACTTGCAGAACTTTGAAGTTTTACATGCTGCACTTGTTCAGTAGTGTTTGTACACTGTGATATTACTGCTTTTACTCCAGTAAAAGGATCTAACCATTCTTCTGAGCAGGCTCCTGACATGAACAGGACAAATAGCTGAAAATTTTCCTGTGGCAGCAACAAACACGACAACGTTTTGACCCGTTTGAGGTGAAAACCAGCTGAAGTTGATGGACTTGTAGCTATTGTCTGACCTAAAGAATGATGCAAAACGACCACCTCCAGTTAAACTCTGCTGACCTACTGTACAGTGATGACTTAGTGAGTTCGTGATCTTCTTGCTTTTCCCTGCAACACTCACTCACATCTGCGGTGTGCAGGTTTTGGTGGTGCCGTCCCATGAAACAGAGTGAAGCAACAAGCAGACATCGAGTTAGCAACATGTATGGGCGACGGCAATCCCACAATCCCAGAGTTTCCTGTGAGGTCACTTCCTTTTTAGTGCTCAAGCCCTGGTGAAGCTGGGGATGACCAGAAGTATGATGGCTGCCGCTGCAACTGCTGCCACCACCAGGTTCCAGCCTCCAGGGTCTGCCTGCAGAGAGAGGAGGGCAATGTCAAGGAGGTACTGCACAAAAAACAAAAACTTTTTGTTATCAGCAAAGCTGAAACTAATGATCCTGATAACTAAATCAGCCAGTTATTGTCTCTTACATCCCTTTGTTTTGCACCAACAGTTGAAAAGCTAAAGGTTGTTCATTTACTGTCACCGTGACAAAGAAAAATAGAAAACCCTCACATATGAGGCACAGAAACCAGATTAGGTATTTTCACTTTAAAAATGACTGAAATGATTTTTCAGTTATCAGAATTGTCACAAATTAATTTTCTGTCACTTGACACATCAAATAATCGACAAAGTTCTGCAGACTAGTATAAGATTCAGACCATGTTCGCACTAATGTGGATAAATGTCAATAACACAGCTTTTCAGAAGCAATGTATAATTATCAAAAGATAAGAAATAAAAGTGAAAATTCAGATTGATAAAATTAGAAAGGCATGACGTAGCATAGTATGACTGTGGCTGTATACCAGGAACTGGGAATCTCGTCACAGTCTGGATGTGTGTTGTTGTGTCTGTGTGCACCTGTGTGTTTATACATGGCACTGTTAGAAAGACTCTGTGATTGCTAAAATGACAGCATACACTTTCACGGTTGTCAGGACTTCCCAGTTGTACATGCAACGATATGGGGCCTTTCTGTGCGGAGTTTGCATGTTCTCCCCGTGCTTGAGTGGGTTCTCTTCGGGTGCTCCAGCTTCCTCCCACGGTCCAAAGACATGCAGCATAGGTTGATTGGTGTCTCTAAATCGCCCGTAGGAGTGATTGTGCGTGAGTGGTTGTTCGTCTGTGTGTTAGCCCTGCGATAGACTGGCAACCTGTCCAGGGTGTACCCCGCCTCTCGCCCGCAGCTGGCTGGGACTGGCTCCGTGACCCCGTTTGGGACTAAGCGGTTTAGAAAATGGATGGAAAAATAGCTGTTTTTTCTGGCAGTAATGAGCTTCCATACACACTTACACACTACAGTGCAGCTATATGATATTTTAGCAGTGCTGTCAGGTCAAAATGAACCCTGTAAGGAGATCCCTCCCTCCCTGAGCTTTAGTCATGACCAACAACATTCACACACCATCAGCCCTCACAGCTGCAGACCCACACTGAACTAAATTACTGTAAACTAAGTATATTCACACAAATCCCTGCTGGAAGCTTGTAATTCCATACTAAGGATTTCATTAGTCGATGATGAAATCTAACTTGAACTTGTCAGGTCCGCTCGGCGCGACCTACCTCTTTTTCTTTTTTCTCTCCTGCTCTCTTTTTTGTGGGTTCCGCGCCTCAGCTGTGTTTTTTTTTTTTGTAATTAGCTACTCGTAGGTTGTCGCGCACAGCTGAGGCGCGTTAGCGTAATTACCTGGTCCTCCTTATTTAAACCTCTGGTAGACGCTCTGTTATTGCGGAGCATTAATGACTGTAACGTGAATGCCCCGTAACAGCCCTATAGTTGTGGTATGCATCAGACGTATTTTGTTTTCCACGCCGGCAGTTCCTGTGCTGTGGATCGCATGATATACGAAAGTTATATGTTTTTTGTGTTGTATGGTCCACGCTGACAGTTCCTGTGCTGTGGACCGCTTTGTTTGTTTTTTGTCCATGTGGTTAGCTAGATGTTCTTTTTGTTATCCACGCTGACAGTTCTTGTGCTGCGGATTTCCGTTTTCGTTCGCCTACCCTCCTGGTTTGCTTGTTTATTCACCTGCCCGTCCTGTTCCTCTGACTCGTTTTTTTGCTGTTAGCTTGTTTTTTTCCCCTGGACATCCCGGTCTCCTCCACCATCTCTACCCTACTTTGCTTATATATTGTAGTGATCCTTCACTTGGCATGTTATGATGTTCTAAATTGTTATGGTTCCTTGATGGGTGTGGAGCTTCAGGGGTTAAGAGGTGTGAGAGCGGGAGGGAGTGAAGTGTGGGGGATTTTGAGCTACAGAGTGTTAACAGGCTGTTTTTCTTTCTTATTGTTGTTGGGCTGTTGTTTTTGCTTTGTTATGTCCAACATTAACCGGTTGTGTGGAGTTAATAAAAAGTGACTATTCGTTGGCACTCAAGGTTATAAAGTGTTATGACAGTTTGTGCTGAAATTCATGGTCTACAGAAGATACATTTTGATGGCAATAGTGATCCCCTGACTCTTCTAGCTTTGCCAACAGCAGGTCAAAGTATTTAGTGTGATATCTCAGTACACTTGTGGCTTCCAAAGGATGAATCCTACACACTTTGGTGGCTGTTCTTCTCATGCTATTATAGGAGTCTGGACAAAAGCCACAGTGGAATGTGGTTGCTGGATACTCACATGCCACTAAAGGACTGTTTGCAAAGTGGGAGGCTCTCCGGGTGAAGGATGGGGTGCTTCAGAGAGCCTGGAAAGAGCCTGCTACAGGAGAAGAGAGGTGGCAGGTGGTGGTCCCCAGAGCACTGAGAGAGTCAGTGTTGGAAGCCTGTCATGGAGCTACCGGGGCAGGACATTTTGGGGTCTCGAAAACCCTGCGTCGACTCCGGCAGGGGTTTTACTGGGGCCGGCTCCGGAGAGATGTCGAGGACTTTTGCCGCTGCTGTGACCCCTGCACCGCACACAAAGGTCCCCTAGAGCAGTCTCATGCCCAGCTTCAGCAGGTGGC